ACTGGAGAGAGAAAACATCACCAAACTGAGGGTTCCTACCATGTCCAGAATAGCTTGGACTTAAGTGTACATGTACAGGCTTCAGTTTGTAACATTTTTCCAGAAAATGTTTACACGGTGTCATTCAACTTGGGAAAAGATAGTGTCCAAAAGATTAATGCATACTTTTGTCACAACTTGCTTTTTTGTATTTTGGTTTTGTTTGATTTTCTATTTTCGTTGTTGTTTTGGGGCTGTTTGTTTGGGTTTTTTTTTATTTATTTAGCTTCAATATCTCTGCCACACTGGAAATTTTACCAGTTCATTTCTTTGAATGTTTCTAAAAGGACACTATTTGTAGGATCAACGTTTGTAAAAATTTTTTTAAATTTTTTTTTCCAATACTGGTGGTCAAACAACCTTGCACTTGCCAAACATGCTGCTGAGCTAAACCCCTGGCCTGGATCAAGTTATTTTTATATGCATTACTGTGAAGTTGTAAATGGAAATCTTTCCTTACAGTACAACACAATGATGGCTGTATAAATCAGTGTCTATCTAGAACCTGTGTTGTGTAAGGGCATTCTTACTCATGCTGCTATATGCTTCCGCACCACCCAGATTTGTTGGAGCAGATGTGTGTATGACTGCCAAGTTTTTCCAGTACAGCAGATGTTTTCACTGAATGCTTGCTGGAGTTCTTGATGGAGTCCTATAGTGGTTCCCATGTTAGATACCATTTTCCTCACCTTACATCTGTGCATTTTCTCTTCAGGTGACTGAATGTTTCCGAAATATGTGTGCAGAGTTACTCAGTTTCCATGAACTGTCATTTCCTGTAAATACATATTGCTCTGTGACTCTTCCATACCTTACCTGTGCTAATCAAACCTGAGATTTTACTGTAAATTAAAAACAAAGATATTTGCAAAAACTGAAGCTTGCATTTTAAGTGATTTGTGTTGAATATTCCAGGAACATAGAATTTTAGTTGTCTATAACCCTTATCAGAGAATAAAGAAGAAATTCTTTCCTAATAACTAATAATTGTGATATAACCCCCAAATCTAAGTATGTGAAAAAAGAATAAAACAGATAAAAATTACCTATCTGCTTTGAGATATCCTAACAAAATTTTAGAAAATTGGTCAATAATACATTTAAAATATTAAATCCATATTAGATTCCTCCCAGGAATGTAAGGCTGGCTCAATCTAGACAATATGTTTCTAAGATTTACCACAAAAGAGACAAAAGAGAAAAATCATGAGCATTAAACTTTTTGTAGAAAAAGCTGTATTTTTATAAAGAAATGGTAGAATGTACAATCAGCCAGGTATGGTGGCACATATCTGTAATCCCAGCACTTGGGAATCTGAGGCAGTAGAAACTTTGGGAGATCCAGCCCTGAGCTACACAAGGCCAGTCTGAATTATAAAGCAGAACCCTGTCACAAAACGATTTTATGCCCTACCTCTTGCCACAATCCCTCTAGCTGCTATCAGGACTAGTAACCAGTATGGGCCAGGAGAAACAGCCAGCCATGCCCCTCATGAGCCCAACAGCCACCATTGGGATCAATAGCCAGCACAGGCCAGGAGAACCAGCCAGCCAAGCCCTCATACACCTGATGCTATTGGGAGAGTCTCAGTGTAGCCACCCCATACTGCACCACCTCCCTGGGAACCTAGGTTAGGAGAAACCAAATCCCCTACACCATGGATGTGTAGCCAACCTGGGATGCACCTGGGAATCCACAACTGTCTTGTCTACAGGAACCTAGGGAAATGTCAAGACCAAGGAGCAAAGAATAATCTCAGACCTCCAGCTCACACAGATCAAGTCTGGCAGACACCGACATGGAAGAAATTGGAAGACACCCACCAGAAATTTCTGAAAGGACAGCAGCTAAACTAAAGAAACAATTTCATGAGGCTGAAAAAGTATGTATCATGGCTTCCAGGAGAACATGGCAGACAGATAGCAGCAGCTACGGAGGCTCTCTGAGAGACCCAGCTTAGAATCCAGGAATGGTGCAGCGTGAGCAATCCTAAAAAAGAGGAGATATACCCTGCTGACCCAAGAATGAACTGAGCTGAGAGAAACCAACTAGGAATGCAATCCTGGTGCTATAACAGGAACAGATAAAGCCTCAGCATGGAAGCTGGAGCTCGTGCCATTGGAAGCCGCGATTTGGGTTTCCTGCTGCCGCTGTTGCGTATGAATCGGCTCGGCAGGGAGAGAGACACGTGAAAGCTCTGAGAATGGGAATCAGTGAACAGAGTTGAGAGTGGGACGGGCGGGGAGCCGTGCATCGACCTGCAGTGAGTGAGGGAAACAGGGACTCTTCTACGGTCTAGGAGGCTCCAACAGAGGACATTCTGGCACTGGGCAGACTTGCTGGAACAGGGCGCTGTAGTGACTTCAGTCACATATCCCCTTCTCAAGTGGGATTGGTGAGCAGTATCTAGCCTATGTGATGCTGCTGGCTAACACCAAGTAGGCTAGCACAACTCAGGTCCCAGCACTCTGGAGGTGCACCCTAGCGGTGAAGCCTTCAGTAGGTTGACCTGGAGGGGCGGGCCCCACATAGGCTGCCCGGTCCATATCTCCCTGGTGCGCTACGGTGGGCAGGAACACCTAGCCGGCACAATTCAAACAGACTGTGGCCAGGGAAGGAAGCTGGGCCTCCTATATATGCTTGTATATAAGGAACAAAGAATATGGGAAGAGGGAGCAACAAGAAAGGCTCCTTGGCCCCCAATCCTGAGAAACAGGCAATAGCAGACATGGCACCAATAGACATCTCCAGAGCCTCATACATGAGTTCAGGAATGAAGTTATTAATGACCTGAAGCAAGACATAAGCAGAATAGTTAGAGAAATGCTAAGCACCACCGAAGAAAAAACAGATGGTGGAATGGAAGAACAGAAAAAAAGGGGAGAATTGTTTGATGGAGAAAACAGAGAAAACATAGAATACGTGAAGCAGGTTCAAAGAGATTACCAGGAAACTAAAAACTCTATTGAAAACTGGCAGAAGAGCTTGAAAGAAACTAAGAATAGATTATCTGAACTGGAGGGCAGATTTGTAATATGGGAGCATGAAATGAAAAACTTCTTAAAAATAACAAAGAAACAAACAGCAATAATACAAAGGCTAGATGATAAGAAGTTCTATAACTTAAGAATTAAGAACATAAAAGAAGAGGTAGGGACACAAACAAATGAACTACAAAAGCTACTCGCAGAAATAATCCAGGAGAATTTTCCTAATTTAGTAAAAGGTAAAGATACTCAGATGTATGAAGCATACAGGACCCCAGGCACCTACAACCCAAACAGAGCAACACCCAGGCATATAATAATCAAAATACCAGAAATCCAACATTAGAAAAGAATATTAAAAGCCATCAGAGACAAGAAACAGCTCACTTACAAGGGAACACCCATCAGAATTACAGCAGACTTCTTGGCACAAACCATCAAATCATGAAGAGCGTGGGGAGAAATAATTCAAGCTTTGAAAGATAATAACATCCAGCCAAGATTGATATATCCTGCAGAATTATCCCTGGAAATTGATGGAAAAACAAGGTGCTTCCAGGATAAAGAGGAACTAGGGGAATAGGCAACCACCAATTCAACTCTACAGAGAATACTGCAGGATATTCTATAAAAGAAAAATACCAAGAATCCAGAAATAGTGGCAGAGAGGCCACAATGAATGGAGCAGAAAACAAAATGAAGAACACAAACTGATAACTAATGACAGAAAAAGATCTCAACAGAAATGAGACAGATAAGATTGGATGATAGGAACAGCTATTTTGGAGAAAACGACATCATAATAGGTACTGCTGATTTAATATCATCTTGTTTTGAAGTCCCATCAAGCTTTTGTTCTTCTGTCTCCATAGGTCTTAACATGTTGTATCTTACTGGATTTTATTATATATGATAGTATAAACAAAAACTTTTATAGACAAGGAGATTATACAGAAACCATTGTTCATTTTCTGTTAGTTGATTCTAAATACCCTATAATACTGTCATTCTCTTGAATGGTTTTACATTGTTTTGATATATTTTATGCTACAGTATACAAAGTTACACTCAAAGATTTCTAGGAAAGAGACAATATGGTAACTACTTTTATGTTGGGATTATCTTGTGGTGAAACACTATTTTGCTTAAATGGTTATGTTTTGATCTGCGCTGTTTTGTTGTTATGCCCTCTTTTATCTCAATCTCCATTTTATTATTTACTTTTTTATTTTTATCCTTTTAATTAAGGGAAAAATAAATAAAATAATAGTAGGATATATTATAGTAACCCACTTTGATTTTCTATTAACTTGATTTGAAGCCCTGTATTGCTCTTACCATCTTGTTTTGACTGATGTTCGTCTATTCTGTTTTGCTTGATAGTACCAGGTTCAAAAGTTTAGGCAGCAGCTGTGAAGATAGTGGGATTCATCATGACGCCCATTCTGGTTGGCTATTATCTACCTTTGAAGACCTGTAATGTTTCCAATGTTTCGGTTTTGTTGGTTTCGTTCTTTATTGTTTTGTTCAATTTTATTATAACTGATGATATAGGCAATTCTATTTGAGATAGCGGGAGGCATTATGGTAACCATTGTTGATCACCTTGTATTATGTTTTTACATTATCTATTATGTCCACCCTTTTGATTTGACTGACTCTGTTCTGTTATGTCACATTTGGTTTTACTCTCTTCAAAAAAAGTAATAAGAATTGTGGGAGTAATAAAACCCACAATGTGTAATAGTCATTGTACAAAAGAGAGGAAAAGAAAGTGCTCTAAATGATATAACTGCATGTATATTTAAGTGTATAGGATAGACAATGATATTACTGAGTTTTATTGGATTATTGAACAGAACTGGTTGCAGTCTCACTGTTTGAATGTCCACTTTATATGGTTTAATTTTGTAACTTGAACAAGTATTTCTAAGATGACAATATGTAATCCATTAACTAGTGATTTCCTGCTGTTTATTTTTTTTCTAAAATTCTGTATAACTTGTATCCTTTTTCTGCTTTTTTTTTCTCCTTAAATAAAAATTTTTTTAAAAAGTATGTATCACTATATTAGTACATCTATGTTTAAATTTTGAGGACTCTTCCTATAGATTTCCTTAGTAGCTTTATTAGTGTACATTCCCACAAATAACATACATCTTCTTTTTCTCTTGCAGCCTCTCCAATATTGTTATTATTTGGTTTCTTGGAATAAGATGAAAACTAGTGAATACCCTTGTCTTGTTCTTGATTTTAAAGGGAAAACTTTCATCCTGTCTGTGTTTGATACCGTATTGGCTGTTTGTTTGATATCGATGACTTTTATCAACTTGAGATCTTGAGATCTTCTATTCCTACTTTCCTCATATTTTTTATCATGAGTGCAAGTTGGATTTTGTCAAATGCCTTTTCTGCTTCTATTGAGATGATTATGTGATTTTTGTCCTTGCTTCTGTTTGTACTGTGTGTTACATTTATAGATTTGTGTATGTTGAGCCATCCCTACATGTCTGAAATGAAACCTACTTGGTCTTGATGTATGAATTTTTTGATGACTCGCTGCTTTCTGTTTGCCAGTATCTTATTGAGAGTTTTTACATCTATGTTCATTAAAGAGATTGGCCTGTAGTTCTCTTTTTTGGGTTGAGAATGAGTAATGCTCACTTTCAGGCATAGCTTTGGAAGTGCTTCTTCCCTTTAGATTTCTTTAAAGAGATGGAGCAATACTGGCATTGGACATTAGATCTTCCATAAAGTTCTTAAGAGCCAATCCCCTTCCCATAAACGCCTGGCTATCTGGAAATACAACTTAATGCTTGTAGTGTTTAGTTTTTCACCGACTTTGCAGGCCTGAAGCTGGTAGGCTAATCATCTATTAAGAGGATAACAATGTGAAGTGTAGCATAAATGGGGCATCTCCTTCTGAAGGTGGAAGCCATTGTTAATTCCCTAGTATCTTGCTTCAAAATCCTGTTATCAATCTCATTGTTTTGTTTGGTTGGGTTTTATTCCATTTTATCTTGTTTCATTTCATTATATCTGGTAGCAGATGCAGCATTTCAAAAAAAACAAGATCTATGATACCCATTTTGGATTTACTATTATTTTGCCTTGAAGTCTTCTATTGCATTCATTGTTTTGTTTCTGTTCGTTTTACTCTGTTCTGTTCTGTTTGTTTGGTAGTGGTGAATCTCTCAAGGTGCGCCTTGTCATTGAAATATCTCATTCTCCATCAATTTTGAAGGCAATTTTTGCAGGATACCTAAATTGGGTTTGGAAGATGTTATCTCTTTTCTCTTTCTTTCTTTGTTTCTTCCTTCCTTCCTTCCTTGTCTTTCTTATTTCATACTGGGTATCAAACTCATGACCTCACACTTGCCAGGAAGATGCAAGTGTGCATCCTTATGCCACTCAGCTAAATCCCTGGCCTGATGCTATCTTTTCACTCCAAGCCTCCTGACCTTCAAAGTATGTGCTGAGAGGATACAAATGAGTTTACCCTTATGTGGGTCTCATTCCCTTTCTTTAAAAGCTTTCAAGATTTTGTCCCTGTGATGAGTTTCTGGTACTTTGAGTGTAATGTGACCCAGAGAGGTTCTGTTTTGCTCATGGCTATTTGGGATTCACTATGCTTCACTTATCTATATGTTTATCTTTTCTTATATTTTGAAGGTTTTCTGCCACTATTTCTGTGAATAGCTTTCTAATATGTTCTCTTCTGAATTTTCACTTATCTTAATTACTCCTTCATTAGTGTTCTTTGGATTCTCTAGCAGCGGTTGGATCTATTTTTCATATTCTCTTGTTGCTTTGAAGACGTCTTTGAGTAACTGACCTTGGAAAATATTTTCTTACTTCGAAACTCTATCCTCAAATTGGTAACTTTTTCTGCCCACACTTGCAATGCAATATTTGATCACCTGAATTGCTGACTGAAACCTTTTCACAGACTCTAATCCTTTGCTAAATTGACCATTTATGAGTTGCACAATTTTGGTTAGTTCATCAAGATTTTTATTATTGTCTTCTGCATCACTTGGTTATTACTTTCCATTATTTTTCTAAGATGCCACTGAGTATCTCTCTGACACTAAGTTGCTAAAGTTCTAACATCACTTTCTAAGACATATACGTTGTGTTTTTAAACATTAACTGTTCAGAATGGAAGCGATTAACAAAATTGGCATTGATTTTTAGTTTTTTGTCTTAACTTATGACCAGAATCATCTTATCTGCTTTGAAGCACCATTTTTAGTAACATGGCCTGTGACTCTTCTATAGAGGCAGAGTAGTTCCTTTTTGGATTACTGGAAAGTATTGGAATGGGTAGAAAAAACAGAGTGATATGTAGAAGAATTAAGAGATAATTATTATTATTATTATTTTGTGGTACTGGAGTTTGAACCCAGAGTCTTCACACCTTCTTTCATTTTTCTGACAGGGACTAAGTTGCAAAGTTGTCCAGGCTGGCCTAAAACTTGTGATCCTGCCTCAGCCTCCTAGAGTACTAGGATTATAGACATATGTCAACGCGTCCCACTGAAATGTAGTTCAAAGAAGGTTTGGGTTTTTTTTGTTGGCTTATTTGTTTTAGTTACAAAAACAAAAAACTGGGGGGGGGGTACTTAGACTTCATTGGACAGTATGTACTATTGACAATTTTAAAATTCTACTGACGATGGAACTACAGCAGCAGCAAGACAATTCAATCAGGTTAAAAGGGTCCTTCAGAAAGATCTTCATACTAGACAGTGGAACGGACCAAGCTAAGAGCTAATTTGGGGTTCAGGGTATGGTTGTGGCTTTCCAGAGAATGCTGAATCGGCTATCTGGGTGCCACTGTATCATGGATCAGACCCAGAGAGGGAATTGATTCCATCTCGGCAATAAGTAGATCCTCAGTTCTGTGACAGTGATGCCTCAGAGGCTGCTCTACAACTGATAGACAAGTTAGGTAAAAGATTTTATGTATTAGGTAGGATGATTGACTAAAAGAGGTATTTTATGTCAAAAGGAAAATTCAAATATGTTACAAAGTGTCATGATTGTTAAACTGTAATGTCATGTATGGTTTTGATTTCTATTGTTTTTCTGTGTAAAATATGCAAGTGTTAACATTCCATTGGTATTCAAATGTTAAAACATCCTTGGTTGTTAAAAAATAATCATTCTATTTTATGTTCTGAGGTGCTTGCTATTTCCCTAAGATGATAATGTCAAGCTTACTGCCTCTATTACACAGTACTATTATCAATCTTTTTTTCTGGATGTTCCACAACTGAGGTTTAGAGACCAAAAATCAGAGAGATAGGGGGACTAAGAGGATAGTCACTATTGTGGCCCTAGCCTTCCAAGGTCAATGAGGACCCAAGACATAAGAAAGCCTATGCTGCATCAGTGTACACTCAGTGAGTCCCTGATCTTCTGACCAAGAAGATCAAGACCACGGAGGAAAGTGATCATTGGTGTAGAGTGTGCCTAAGGAGAGTCACCAGGAGGAAAGGCCTCCAGGCTTTCATAGAAAGCAACTTGGCCAAGCCATGGCTGTGACTCATCCAAACAGGTGACACTGACAAGGGGAGCTAAGAGGTGCTATACATTGTCCCAAGGCATTTCCTGAGAAAACTTAACTGACCTTGGTAGATAACGGAAACCGACTGTAATTAATGCAGGTCCCACCTTAACTTGATCTTTAACATTCTTCAGAAAAGTATAATTACTAGAGGTATATAAAACAATGTTATAGTAATATATTAGTCATAAAAGAAATTCAAATCCCTAATACCTTCTGACAACTGCACGCTACACTGTTACAGATTAATGGACTGTAATGGGTTAAATTACTGAATGCAGGAACTTAAAATCCTTGGACTGCACTTAAAACGAAAAGGGGTCAAGAATGAAAAGGCATTCTGCAGAGTTCCTCAAACATAGCTCCTCCAGCTTCAACTGATCACTCATCCTATGCTACCACAAAACAAAATAGAGGGGTAGGTAGGCAGTTTTGAAGATGGAGATTGATAACATGTGTGAGGATAATGCAAGGCCAGCTCTGAAAATACAGATACCCCCAAACAAGCCTCAAAAACAAGCTGTTTAACCTCCAAGAAGGCAAAGGGCCCAGGCAAGCCAGGCAAACAAAGTGCTAGGCAGCGAGGTTGAAACTGACATCCTTCTCTTGAGTATATAAATAAATGTGCTCCAGTGGTTGAGCAGTCCCTTCTCTCCCATCAGGACAGAGGGCTTCAGCTGATCTCAGCTTTCACCTCTGTTCTTTATTTTCTCATCCTCACATGGTCCTTCCCCCTGGAAACACCTAGAGCTGCAGCCAGTCACTACATTTTGGGTGTTGGGTATTTTGTTCCAACAATGAGAAAAGACAGAATTTAGTACCTGAATTGGAGTGGTACCTGACCTGACTACATGGTTCAGTAGCCTCTGCAACTGGCTTATGGCAAGAGTTTCAAAGGATTCAGAGATGCCAGTAGAAAGAGCAGTCTTGGAATGCCTTAAACTGTACACAATAGGAGACTCTAGTCAGAGGACAGAAGACCAGAATGCTGATAGAAAAGCTGCCATTAAAGAACAGGCCCAGGAGGCTTTTGCTAGGCAAGATGGCTTTAGCTGTTGGATTCCAGAACTGCTGTTCTACCATGGCAGAGAGTTTGTCTGCGTTTTGCTCTCATCCAGCAAATTGGCCTGTGACTGAGAGTAAAGGCAGCAGACTAATGAATTTAGCAAGAGAAATTCCAAAACAGCCTATGCTGAGGCATGGCATACCTACTACTGGGGGATATTAACTAGGTTTCTGTGCAGAATCAAGAGCAAAGAGCCTAACAGAATGATTTAAAATGTTTGGAGTTTGGCTGGAAAGGAACCTCCAGTAGATTTATAGCCTGCAAAGACTGAATAGGAAACACTGGTCCCTGAAAAGACTACCACGAAAAAGCCAAGTATATCAGAACAACAGAATAGACGGCTAGAGGACATCACAAGAAGTATTAGGATTGTACCTTTTACAGAGTCATAATTTCAAAAGTCAAAGACTTTGCTAGGAGAAGTGAGTTCCAAAGAACCAAGTTGCAGAATGGTGGCAGACTAAGGAAGTTGTTTGTTGGGATTTGACTCATAGGTGGTTATCTCTATAGCCAAGAGAAAAGGAAGCCTGAGGGGCTGGGGATTTAGCTCACTGGCATAAGCGTCTGCCTTGCAAGCAGGCAGTCATGAGTTCGATCCCTGGTACTGATAAAAAACGAAAAAGACAAAAAAACAAAAAAAAGAAAAGGAAGCCTGGCTAGTAGACAGCAGATCTTAGCAGCAACCATGTGGTACTGGCTTTAGGCGTGTGAAAAATATAATGTCTATGGGGCTCGGAAGGCTTCCCAGATTTTAGAAGGCCTGAGAAGTCAGGCTGTATGCCCCTGAGAGGGCATTTATGAAACTTTGAATGTGAAACCAAAGGTGAATTGGAGACTCTAGAAGTTTGTAAAAGCCAGGAATGTGGACCCATTAAGGAAAACTGCAAAGAAGGAGCACAGCCCACCCAAAGCTAATGCCATGGGAGCTACACCACCAACAGTACAGTAAGGGTGAATCACCAAAGCCCTTTGAAGTTCACATCTTGCCACAGATTGCCTTGCATGTTGGACATGAGCTACAGGAATCATATTTGCCATGCTGGAATTTGGATTTGCTTAGCTCTTGTTCCTTTCAATTCCCCTCTTTGTACCTTTTGGACTGGAAATTTGCTTGCTTTTATTCTCTTCTGCCTGCCACCCTGCCTTGGAGCCAGCTGATTATGAATGGAAACCTCTACAAAATGTGAGCTGAAATAAATCTTTCCTTCTTTAACTTTGAATGTTGGGTATTTTGTCTTAGCAACAAGAAAAGACACTAAGATATGTAATTTCAACAGTAAAGGCCTAAATCAATGTTGACAAAACACAAGCTACCTGAACTGATGTCCAAAGTGAAAAACAAAATGAGACTACTGGAGGAGGATTAGATTTGTTTAAAGTCAACTTTAACAGGACTAGGGAATGAGATGGCTTAGGAATAAATGAGGAGAGGCACCTTCCAGGGAAACAGTCTAGTAGTATTTATTTATTTAGAGAGATGGGCATGCTCCTGTGTTATTTTGTCATACTTGGGGGCCAGCTGAGTTTGAATGATGAAGGTGCAGATGTTTCATCCAGTAGTATTTATTTAGAGAGATGGGCATGCTCCTGTGTTATTTTGTCATACTTGAGAGCCAGCTGAGTTTGAATAAAGAAGGTGCAGATGTTTTGTCTTCCTCACTGGCGAGCTGTCTGGCATCAGTGAAGAGGGAGCCAGGTTGCGTGGGGTCACCTGCTCTGGAGAGTGCAAGGGGGCCAACCTGCCACAGGATGTAGAGGAAGTGCCTTAGAGTCCACCTGAAGCCTCTGCCTGTTCCCCTTCCGTTGCCCTGCACTGCAGTCCATGCCCCTCCAGTTGGAAGCCACACAGCACACACAGCAGGGCTGAGATAGCTGGATGGCTCTGCTAAGAGGACTTTGCTCTTTCAAGGTTGGAAAGGATGTGGGGGACAGCACGGGGTTTTAGTATCTGACAGAACTTGAATCTCAAGAAGGAAGAGAGTAACCCTATGTACCTGCTTTCCACAGTCTGTTCCTCTAATAGGGATAGAATTTAAAGGCCAGTAGCAGGATGTGGAAACCAGCGTTATGGGGAAAAAGTTACAACACAGGCCATGCTCAAGGAATGTGGATTTTTGGCAAAGTTCTTTTTATCTTTTTTTCTTAAACTGTCTCCCCAATTTAAAGCCAGATGTTTGAGAAGAATTTGTGACCTTAATACGTTTCATGACAGGCAATACAAAAGGACATGTCGCCAATATTTTGTACAACAAGAAAAGAAACAACAACTGAACCCACAAGACAAACTGAGCTCCCAAACACACATGTACACAGCAGAATTCAGAAATACCCAGGATGACTCTTCAGGCTTAATGGATGGCATCCTACTGAAACGAAATGTGTAGTAAGAGGAAAATGGAGATATGGAGAAAGCAAACTCATTTACTTGCCACCCAACTAAGAGCTATGGAAGATGAAGCCACCAGGACAAAAGGATTTTCTACAAATTACTATCATAAATATGTTGGGTGAGCAGTTACTCCTATTACTCCACTGAAGAAACCATCTTCATCTTGTTTGCACATTTTCTACAGCCTTGCACCTGGGATACGTTTCTATTATAAGTCCCTTTGGCAGTGGCAACAGGTATTTGTTAAATATTCTATTGGCTCAAACTAGTAAAACCTTGTATTTCTCTATTGCGCCACTATTAAGAGCAGCATCTGTGCATTCTGTCCCTCACTTCTTTCTCACAGTTATTTCACGGGGAATTGACCAGGTTGGGTGGAATGGGATCAGCAGGGAAGAACTTTCTGGGCACTAACCTGGGCTTTTGTTTCGATGCCTGTGGTGCTTGACTTAGCCTTTCGTGTGCTTGTCATGCTCAGTGGAAGCAGGCCAAACCTCCAAGAGGAGAGGAAGAATTTCAGGGGCAGGAAGGAGCAACCTTGGGGCCCAGTGAGAGTTCTCAGGCTCTGGCTCACCTGATCTGACTCGAGGCCAACGGCAGTATGTTGTGGGCTTCCTGGGAGTTCAGTGAACTGCTCTGAGGGGTGAGCTGGTTCTCTGTACCAGTAACCAATCCAAACAGGACCTGATGTACAAGAGTGAGCAGAGCATAATACAGGATTTTACTGTTCAGATCAGAGAATCATTTCTCCATTCGTAAGCACCACCAATTAATTTCTAACCGTCACTTTTGGAGCTGTTCTTTTGAGTGTGTGAATATTTCAGAATTACTTTCTTTCACGGAATCTCATGGCCATGTTGTTCTCATTCTGAGGTTTGTATCACGGTTTATTAATCCTTAACTATAACTTAAGAGGTTAGATCACTGCCACCCCAGTGCATGTGATTTTCTCTCATCCTCTTTCAGCCTTTGCATCTCTACTCAGCTGCCTGCGTATCACCCCCTGCCAACACTGCCTCCCTGAGTACTAACTGCTGAGCAGGTCTGTTGTGTAATGTGGGGCTGTGGCATCTGGTTCATGCTGAGGGTATTTTGAGGCTACTTACGGAAGTGCGCTGCACCAGGAGATGGAGGTTGCTGTTGAGGTACAGTGTGAACACATCCAGGTCAAAGGGGTCGATGAGAGCTTCCAAGTGCTCAGTCACTTTCTCAGTTCTTAGAAAAGTTGTACCATCGTTATTTTCCAGGGTTTTTAAGGATGAAAAAACAATTTTACAATATTTTCTATTTACAGAAGTTCTGAAGTACATTTGATATCTAAGTTAAAACCATTCTTTCGTGCTGTTTCTAGGGGAAGCACTAAGATCTCAAATTATACCCAGCGGTCACAAGCTGGACCTCCAGAGGAATGAAGTTCTGCCTACTTTGCTTGACATGAAATGCACCCAGCACTATACTTCTGAGGGGGTCAGGTCCCAGCAAACCACTGTAAATTGAAAGCACTGTAAACTAGAACTGATCACCACAGCCAAGCACCAGCACCTGCTCAGAGGGTACGTGGTTTCTGTTTGTGATTATAGGGCTGCCCTGGAGCCGCGGCCTCCGGAGGCTGACCACATTTTGAGAGAGGATCATAATGCATAGCGCGAGCCCAGGAAAAGCCCCAACTGCCAAATGTGAATGATAATTCTCCTGAATGCTTGCTGTTTTCCCTCCATTCTACTGTGAGAAAAAACCTGAGAACAGCCCCCATGAGCAGGGAGCATCTCCGTGCACTGGGAAGAGACCTTGGTGGACAGCCCAGCAGAGAGGCAGCACCTGCAGTCCAGCTTGCCGTGACCACTCTTCATCTCTTGCTTGCTACTGAGGACAATGCAGAGGTAGTGCAGGTCATAGAGGAGCTGCAGCGCCCAATTCTGGGTCAGTGGGAATGCGCCTTCCTTCTGCAAGTGAGTCCCCAGCCCAGGGACACATGGCTCATTACGTGGCACAGTGACTAACTGCGTGTTCTGACTGGGCTACACCTTGGTGTTTCCCAGGCAGGGTTAATCTCACAACCACAGTGTGCACTAGCAGCTGGGTCGGAAGGCTAAAAACCTAAGAGCAGAGCATTCAGGGAGCCCCGCCCTTAATCAAACAGGCCTCACGGCTGCTGTAGGTGTCATTTCTGCAAACCAGGGCTTTGTGCCTGACGGAGGCATATGGTGAGGAACCCTAGCAGAGCAGAACTCACTGACTTTGTTCCCCTGTCAGGACTGCTCCTGTCTTTCACATGTGTCTAATGCAGTGGGAAGCAGAGGCTGGGGGACACAGACTTCCCCCTACTCCTGCCTGTGCCACAGCTGTGCTGAGCAGCTGCCCTCCTAACGGGCACCCCTGCTGAGGATGAGTGCGGAGATCTCCATGTTAGCTGGGAGGAACCAGCTGAAGACTTCATCTACTGGGCACATAGAAGAAAATGCAAGGTTAATCATTTGCCCAAAGTCTGCAGTGAGCAGGTGGCAGCGCCAGGGCTGTGGGCCGGGCCTCCTTTCTCTGAAAGCCACCATCCGGCTCACTTGTCCTGAACCTCCTCCTTCAGGGAGACTAGTATGCCCCAAGAGAATGGGTGTGAGCCACAGAGCTGCAGGAGCCTTTACAGGACCGGATGCCTGGGCTGCGTGACACTTAACACTCCGGACCTTTGACATGAACTGCCAGCAGCACCCAAGAAAAACAGAAGCCTTTGTTTGTTATTGGGGGGGGGGTAATCAAACACCCACCTTCTGCTTTCCTTCTGAAAGTTTCTCATAGGCAGTGACTACTTGGACCATGCAGTTTTTCAGCATCTCCTGGAGTGTCCCTTTTGGCAGGGTGTGGCCTCCAACCCGATTCATTTCCTGGCATAAGCTAAACAGGAAGGACTGTACATACCAGGATGGCTACAAAAATAAAGGAATGTCATGTTGCCAACTTACACCCATTAAATGACACATAGCAAAAGTGGGCCCATTTATCCTTTCAAGGCACATATGCCAGGACCTTGAGCTCCCTGCTCAAGCATCTCCCAGATACAAAGTCTCTGTGAAGTCTTCACTTTTGTGGTCTGAGGTCCACTAGGCAGATGGCATTGTAATGCTGCTGTCTCACTTCAGGGTAAGTGGCTGTCTCAGCACAAGGCCCATGCTACCAAGGAAAGTATCATCAGTCCGCTTCTAAAGCGGCCTTTGATCTAGGTGTTCTCACATCTTCATGCCCCCACAGTCCTGTGGTACACCTCTTGGCAACTACTCCTCCGAAGCTGCATGTTGAATGACTCTCTGAGATTGTTTTGCTTCCCCAGTAGGAGGTCTTTCCCTTCTTCAGCTCAGGTCCCTGTGACGGCAGGATGCGCTCACCTGTGAAGGGAGTTGGATCTTGGATGTGATGCTGCTGCCAGACTCAGTCTCCTCCTGGATTTCCAGTTCCTCCCAGTTTGTGGCTGTGGCTAGGATGGAGCCAGCGTCATCTAAAAGTAATGACTGGGTAAACCTATGAACCAGAACCTGATGATCAAAGTAAAATATCCAAGTCCTACAGACTGTAGCGTTTGTTACCTGGAACAATCTTCAAGCCACATTAAGCTGCTGAGGGTGTAAGTGGGATGATGAGGGGTCACCACTACCCTCCTTTTGCTAATTACCACTAGCAATAAGGGGAATGCAGATGCTATGCACCTTACTCACATCAAACACTACCATACACTGTAACAGCTTACGTATCTTGTGAGGAGGCAGCTGGAACAGCCTAAGATAAAATCACGTAAAAATAAAAAATAACACACATCCATTTACAGCTAATTCAAGCAGCTAGATAAGCTTTAATATATTAAAGACAGAGAGACACAAGATTAAAATAAAATTACAGACAAGGACTTTTCCTCCCCACAAAAGCTCATACAGAGTATGCCAAGGTGACAGTTCCTCTGTTTCTCCAGTCTATACCTCAAAGACCCACTGCTTTAAACTCATTTTCTTTGAAAAAAGAAGCACATTCTGCTTATTCACGTAAAAACAGGACCAAAAAAAAAAAAAAGAAAGAAAAAGAAAAGAAACCTTAAGTGATTTGGATTTCCATTCAAAATCTCTTTCTGGGAACAGAAATATTTCTCTTATTTCCCATAAATTATTTCCTAATTCTTCCTTTTGTCTATGATTTCATTCTTTGAGTTCATGAGATTATGAGCTGTTTATATAAAATTAACTGTCTCAATATGTAAGCAGTGGACAGTGCAGGATTGAGATATTTACACTGAGGGCAAGACAGACGGACCGGGCTGGGGATTTAGCTCAGCAGCATAAGTGCCTTCCTTCCAAGTGTGCGGTCGTGAGTTCGATCCCTGGTACCAATAAAAACAAAAAAGACAAAAAAAAAAAAAAAAAAAAAAAGGCAGACAGACCTCTGCCCAGGCAAAAATGTTTCTTTAGTTCTTTTTCGTGTGTGTGTGCACATGTGTGTGATTGTTATGGTATTGGGGATTTAACCTCACACCTTTGCACTGAACTCTATCTCCCAATGATTTATTAATTATTATTTTGTTTACTTTGAGACAGTCTTAATATGGCATGAAGCTGCCCAGGCTGGGCTTAAAAATGTGATCCTTCTGCCTCAGCCTCTCAGATTACTAGGATCATAGGCGAGTGCCACATTTTACGGATCTTTCATTTCCCCTGATAGAAGGAAAAAAAGAAGGCTTTCTGTCCATAAAATCTAAGTTAAAAACAAGTAGCAAAGGTTTACACTGGAATCACCTTGGAGAGGCAAGCTGCACACAACTGTGAAATAAGCTGTTACTCTCTTACAACCTAAGGAACTAAGGTTAGCAAGACCTGAGCGAGACAAACGGAGGCAAACAAAAGGTCCTAAGAATCTCCTCTCATCACTGTCACAACTGCTGAGCTCCAGACCTGGTGGCCCGTCACACTGTGCTGGAGAAGTAATTCTTTCACCTCCTGCCACTGGGCCTGCCCGGGAGTGAGATCCTGAGCTTTCCCCTTTGCCTGCTTTTTCGGAGCCCTTGTCTCCCTTTCTGGTTTCTCAGCACTTCTAGACCTTCCCACAATGCACAGCTTCAGGTGGGGGCACAGTTCTCCCAGGGACTGGCAGAGTCGGCCATGACGAGGACCGTGCAGCTTGGTGCTGTGGAGGACATCCTCCTGGGCCTGTACAACAACTTCGATGCTCTGCAGCTCCGCCTGGATGCAACCCATGATGTATTTGACACACCCCACAGAGTGAGTCCGCAGCATGGCTTGCACAGTCCCAGCTCTGCGTATCGGTCAAAGGCAGAGTTCTTGGCCTGCAGCATGGGGGCAGTATTCTTGGGTAGGGCCGAGTCATCAGAGGGAAGGTAAGTCAGCAGGTCATCCAGTTTAACCTTTAGCTTGGAATCCAAGGCAGTACAGAAATTCTGGACACGAGGACTAATAGCCTGGGCTTTCATGGAGAGGCCACTACTGGCTAACTGGGGTCGGTTTGCCACACTGACCCACGCGGCATCAGAAGGCAGGTCAGTGGGACTCTCCTGCCAGAGGAAGAGAGACATGTTTTGCTCAAAGAGAATGTGCTTGTTTGGTGTAGAACTGCCGGTGCTGCTCTCAAGTTCCTGCAGAGCTGAGACCAGGAGCTCTTTGGAGCTACTGGAGATGGACTCAAAGCCTTCCTTTGTCAGAGTCTGAAAGAGAATGAGAGGACAGTTCTAACCCTTGTTCTTTAATGAAATTTCAAAACAACAGGAGCAAGTAGCAAGTGATCTTAGCATTCAGAATGTTCCCAGACATTCAGAAAATCTTTGTGGTGTGGCAGAGAATCAAAAGATACCACCCTGGTAGACACGGGCTTGTTCCAGGCCACCTAAGTGAGGTCTGGTATGCTGCTCAGGTCTAGTTTCTCCAAGTGGTAGTGAGTAGGGACAGAATAGACCCAGGAAGTGACAGGAGGCTCTCAGGATAGACACAAGTTCACACTGGGCCGGCTGTGAAACAGGGGGCCCAGGGGGTTTCCCGCCTCACCTGTAGGCGGTCCAGGAACAGCTGCTGCATCACGTCCTCCCAGAACAGGAGTGGCTTCTCCAGAAGCCACCAGCACACCACCTCCCAGCTGTGTCTGGCGGGCTCACTTGTAAGTAACTGCCACATGGCATCCCGGATCCCAGCGAGACCTTTCATGCTCTTCACATACAGAAGCAGGTTAGTGATCCCGTTCTTAATATCTTCAGTACACCTGAACATTTCCCATGAGCTTCATTATGCTTGTGGTTTCCATACCATTATTAAGAAAAATGACAATAACTTGTTTCCAAACCTTTTGATTTTTGAGGCAGTGAAGGGTCTGGGAATCGAACCCAGGACCTCTGCAGTCAGATAGATACCGAGCCTCTTTTAAAATTTTACTTACTGGGAATAAGGTCTAGCTATATCATCAAGTTACTCAGGCTGGGGTCAAAGTTGAATCCACCAGCCTCAGCCTTCCAGCAACCATTCCCCCCTACTTGAAAATCTCTTACCTAGAGACAGAGACACAGACACATATAAATTCAGAGCACTTAGGTGCCAATGTTTCTGAATGGTACAGAGTCCTTAGCCCTCTTCATTCTTACTTTCTTGAAGACATGAGAGACTCTCAAGATCCATGGAATTGTTTCAAATACAAAAGCATTAAATAAAATTTTAGGAATTGGAAAACTCTTACTTAAAGAGAATTTAAGGGCCCCTACATAATACTGTCAAAGACAGTTTTCTTCCTTGGTTCTCCCCCAGGGGAACGCAGGGGCACTTCAGCCAAGTGGCCTGGATTCTCTGCACAGACCTCACTGATCCGTGTATGGCCACATCGCAGGCTGCACGGGGGCCAGGCCCGCCTCAGAGGTATGTGCTACTCACATGGTGATGCACTTCTGCAGCGTGTCTCCCCGGTATTCCTGGCTGATGGGATGTGCCAGGGTTCGGAGCACTGGCTGGAACTCGACGACAGATGACGGCAGGTGTCTGAGCCAGCTGCCCAGCTTCATCTCCCCTTGCAGGACACTAATGCACTTCCCTAGAGAAAAATCTCAGTGAGAGGCAGCCCAGGCCATACCTGGAAATACATTATTAAAAATGGACCTCAGAGGAATTTCCAAAAATCCAGTTTTCACTGCAGAGTCAAAATAGAACCCTGCAACAGAGGGAAAAATAAAGTACAGCATATGTCGAGTCCCTCCTCAACAGGGATCAGAATTCCTGTAAGTGTGGTCATCTCTGGGATGAAGACGTACAGGTAAAAGAGCAGAAGGAAGACATAGTGCTGTGCACACCCTAACATTGTTTTTCTTTCCTTAAGGTAGGATCTCGCTGTGTTGGCCAATGTGTCCTCTAACCCTGGGCATCAGTGATCCTCTGGCTTCAGCCTCTTGCAGACCTGGGATTACAGTAACACATCACCTGGCAATCTCTGACATTTTAACACCATATTCCTGTCACCCTTGAGGAACTATACGGTGCAGCTTAGAGGTGATGCACGCTGTACCCTATGTGCAAAGTCCTGTGAGTTTGAAACCCCGGGCCCTTCTCAAGTGACTCATAACTCTGTTTGCCAGTGCACTAGAGATTAGCTATCCTCATCCTCTGTGAAAGGCGGAAAGTAGCAAATGTAAGCACTGGGAGAGAAACCCAAATACAAGGGAACAGTGTCTGAGCAGAAAGGTCAAGTCACTCAAAGATGAGGTTGTATGATATTGTATCTCTTTTTGGAAATGGCCACTTGGTCATAGCCACACTCACTTGTTGGTTTTTGGTCTTTGTATGTATTTCTGCTGTTTTGGAGACACTCCCACGAGCCTTTGTACTCCTGGAGTTCTAAGGCACTGCTTGCTCTCTCAACATTTTTTTCTTAAATAACTTCCATATGTATCAAATAACTCCCATATGCAGATGCACTGCAGGTGTGTCTCTGAGAGTCATTTGCTCAACCCCAGTACCATTCCAACGTATCAATCCTCTCTAGTGTGTGAACTTACCACCAGACTCTTCAAATCAGCTCCTTTTCTAGTTAACTTGGACACTTCCCTTTCCAAAACAATCCATCATCAAATCCTTTCCTCGAGATGCCAGGTAAGGCGGCACAGGCCTGTAATCCCAGCACCGAGTAGGATAAGGCAGGGGGGTCACTATGAGTTTGAAGCCAGCCTGGGCCACATAGTGAGTTCAAGGCCAGTGTGAACTACATAGTGAGACCCTGTCTCAAAAAAAATCCTTTCTTCAACAGACATGAAGATTGTCCAGTGAGCTCCATTTCTACAGCTCCCTTGTAACTTACAATCTGTCCCCATGATCACAATGACAGCCTCCTAAGGGAGCCCTCAGCATCCCTCTACCCTGTGGGATCCCACTAACACTTAAGAGCCAGTTGTAGTTATTTAATTACAGTTGAAATACAGGCTACCCAACTTAAGGGAACACATGAGAACACAAGGAGCTACACAATCTAGGAAGGTCCCAGAAGGTATCCATTGTTCCTTGGATAAAGTCCACACTCCCAAGCCTTGCCCACAAGACCTGCCCTTAATTGGCTCTTGGCAACATCTTATCTCCTCTCTTGCTCTTTTAAATCTCACTCAGGAAACCTCACCCTCACTGGCCTTCTTCACTTCCTCCATGACACTACCATCTTCCTTGCCTTACAGTTCTATATACTCTCTCCCTTTGCTTGGAATGCTCTTCCTTGATAAATTATACTCTACCTTTAGCCTTCAGTTTAACGATCACTTCGTCATGTAGTCCTCTCTGGCCCTAGCCAGTTCCAGTCAGAGTTCCCAAGGCAACTTGTATTCTGCATTTATAGCAATGACTAATAGTGACATTAAACAGTTGTTTGCATATTAATGAGCTTAATATCTGCCTCTAGCACTAGACCATGACCTCCATGTTTCTCTAGTTTCCTGGCCCAGTGGCTGGAACAAGTTAGACTCTGGGTAAGGATCTATTGGATGAGCCAGAAAACTGTTGGTTAAGAGCTCACCGGTGGGATGCTGGCTTGTGATAGTCTCCAGAGTAGAGAAGAGCAGCCCACATGGCAGGCATGGATCTGGCAGCAGCCCTTCTGGTAAAGTGTAGAAAAGGGCATGTGCTTGGTTTAACGTGGTGGCCAGCAATTCCACTAATGAGCAAAACTGGGCCTTGATGCCAGAACCTGTGAGAAGAAATCACTCTCTTTAAACAATTTCTATTAGAAAAGTTAAAGACATAGCCCTTTGGATGCTCCAGTCTCTCTCTGCTCACCCTGTTCAATTCTATACTTAAGGACCAAAATTTTGGAAAGAAGTCACACCCACCGTGGTTCGGCTGGTTGAGAAGTGTCTGAATAACTGCTTTTCTGGCCATCAAGAAATCTGTGAGGGCTTGGCGAGGGGAACTCTCTTCTAGGAGCATTATAGAGCAGAGGGCCCCTGCCACAGCTTGGTCAGACACAGCTTGGCATTTGAGCAGCATCTTGCTTTCACGCAGAATTATTGACCTTGAAACAAGATGACAAACGTCAGCAGGAAATTTTTAACATCTTGGGTGAAGAGCCCTGGTATACTGGGAAAGAAGACAGATTCCATAAAACTGCAGTGATGAAGGCCTGGCAATCACTGGAGATCTTCCTGTAGCATCTACTCACCGGAAGTGGCTGGCTGCTGCCACCTGCCGGATGAGTATAGGAAATCGGGAGAGGATTGGACTGTACTGTGAACTGGATGCATCCAGCTGGAGTAGGCTGTGGAGGTGGCAGCAGAGCAGGTAGAGCTGTGTGGCCTGGAGACACTGAGAGACTTCCATGGAGCTCCAGATCTTCTCAGGAATTTCCAATAGCAGCTTGATCTGGGCAGCCATGCTGTAAAACTTCTCCTGGGACGCTGGCGGTTGCTGTTGGGAAGGGCATAACAAAGTCAGAAAAATAAAAGCCAGATCAGTGTTCTGCAGGCTAAATGACAAGTCAGAGGTATTTCAGTATTTTAAGGTTTCACTATTCTGGACTCAGTGCCACTTGGCTGGGTGTCAAGGTCTAATGTAAAGTAAACACCTTCATCATCTCACCCTCTGGTTACCAGTGATGCTCTTTTAGTGCTATTTGTTTTGTTTTTTCTTGGTATTACTGAATTGACCCCAGTTGACTCAGCTACATCTCCAACTCCTTTTTTATTTTGAGTGTCTTGTCACTCTAATTATGCTTGATCTTGCTATCTTCCTACTTCAGTTTCCCAGAAGGATATTAGAGATGTGCACACCATGCCTGTCTATCCTCCTTAACCTGTGATCCTCTTGGATGTCTTGATTGATAGCAGCAACCCCTGCAGGCTACTCCTCCTGCAAGAACTGTCTATTTTCCTCATGTTCAGCCTTACTATTTTTGCCCTGTTGTTCAAAGGGCACCAAGGGCTTCCTTGTTAACTGCTCTTCACCATCTATGCAAATCTTTTATCTCGAGGATTGTGGCTTTTCCCCATCTTAATCTACCCTTTCAAGCATCCCTTCTCACAGGAGTACTGCCTTATAAAAGAGCTGGAGGGAACTAGCTTAGGGCCTTTAATGGTCTGCCTTTCCACCATTCTTAGTGCAGTAGGAAGGCCCTTATCACATAACAAATGCCACTGCCTTTATCCGGACATCTAAAATGCCGACTATGACAAAATGAATTTTCCAATCTGACATATTTTGTTATAGCAACATAAATCAACTAAGAGCTACATTCCAAATCTCATGTTTTTAAGGCCCTTCCTTCTTGAGGACCCAATCTGAAAGTGATTTCCTTTACCACTCTATGGCAAATTATTTTGGGAATTCATCTGTTATGCTAAAATATTCACTACTGCTATTCTAAACCGCTTCTATTTCTTATGAACTTGTCTTGAATTTATAACCTAGAATATCTCAGTAGGATGGATCAGAGCAGGAATTAGGAGACTGCTGCTTATTTGTGAACTGAACAGAGAAGACACTCAAATTTGGAGCGAGGGAGGGGACAGAAAAGCAATATAGGAACTATGAAAACGAATACACTTCTAAAGTCAGGTCTTTTAAGTCTGAAAATATGGTTCAGTCACAGCGAATTTTGGCCACCTGCAGAACAAGTACTTCACACACAGTTCATGGAAGGTTGAGGTCATTCATTTCAAAAACTTCCAAAGAATTTCCAACCTTCTTCATATATAGTTCTTATGCATTACCCCATTGCCTAGCCTCGTCTTCTGTAACCCGGGTAGCATGAGAAGGTCCCGCAAGCGATCTAAATGTACTTTTGCAACTTACTCTTCCCTATCACACTAAGTTGTCACCGGTTACGCTCAAATGCCTCGTACACCTGCTTCATCTCCATGCCCCTCACTCTGCTCATCCCTAGGTCAATTTTCTCCAGGGAGGCCAGAGGCTGCTCCTCATTTACTGCCCCCTTCCTTCTCCTTACCATTGGTGTTTGGGAGAAGAAGAAAAAAAAAAAAAAGGCAGGGAAACCTAAATTTGAAGAGCCCTAGTTCCCTATGATGAACATGTTCGGGTGCTCAAATGTCAGGACTTGCCACCTCCGATCCCCTCCAACTCCAAAGGTGGGGATGCCACCTGGCTGGGTGAATTTATTCCGGGGGGGGGGGAGGGGGGCAGGGAAAGACTGCTGGGCGGAAGAATGAATGACTGGAGCGGAAGGTGTGACCCTAAGGGAGAAATCTGGTCCCTGGAAAGAACGTCAGGAGGTGGTAAATTCGGTAAAAGGGTAAACTCGAGCCCTGACAGGGAGTCCGGCCGCGGTGAGCGGTTCGGGGAGGAAGTGCGGCCGCTCCAGCAGACACCGTCGACGACGGGTGGCGAAAGGACCTGCAGCCTCCAGGGCCGGCCGGTGCCGCTCACTCCCGGAGATGAGGTCGGCGGGCCGGGGCGGCTGCGGCACTGACCTGCGGGGCGGCGGGGGCCGGAGGCGGCCGAGCCGGCCTGGCGGAGGCGGCCGCAGTACTGGTCGGTGGCTTTCACCGCGTCCACCAGCCCCTCGCACAGCGGCGCATCTGGCCGATGGTGTCGGCCGCCTCCATCAGGTCGCGGTACCGCTCGCCCACCATCTGCCGCAGCTCCTCCTTCTTGTGCTCGATCTCGGCCCGAACCTGGCGCTCTAGCCTGCGGATTTCCTCAGCCCCATGAGTCTCGAAAAGCGCTGCAAAGTCGCGCAGATCCAGCCGCTTCAGGGCCGCAGAGACAGCCATGGCCGCCACTTCCGCCCACCAGCCCCGCCCCCGCCCCGCCATTTTAGATGAGGGCAGAAGTGCTTCCGCTCCCTCGGAGCCGCCATGTTTGTTCTGGGCTTCTTGGGTGTGACAGATGGGCGGTGTTGTTTGGAAGGCAGGTGCCTACTTAGAATTTAGCTAGGGACCCGAGTTACCTAAAAAACTAGGTAGTAATGTTGATTGTTCGCTTGCCAGCCGACACCTGAAACACGTTTAGGTGCACCTGGACCCTTTCCTTGATAGAAAAAAAGCCTTAAGATAGAGTTATTGCAATTAGGCATGTGTCATCTGACTGTCATTTCTCCCCTAGACGCTTATGTCCCCTTCTAGGACATGGTAATGCCCCCAGGGACCATGTTATTTCGCTGTCAGTCGGTCCCATTTCTGTCGAATCTCCTATTAAAACCTGGCTACCCAGATATCTGGGAGCTTGAGGACTGGAGGCCAAGGGTGGACCACAATGTTTGCCCCTGCTACTGCTACCTGCTGGTGCCTTCCGACGCACCATGCCCCATGTCCTCCGTGACACGTAGATACAATGTAAGGAGGCAGATTCACATCCTGTTATTTGCTAGCGTCGTTAGCTGAATGTCATTTGAGAAAAAAAGTTTGAGGCCATTTCTGTACGTTGGAAAAAGTTAAATTGCAAAGACTGCCTCAGGGACTCCCGAACACTTATTTTGCTTGTTTCTTTTTCTGATTAGTTCTTTGAGGTTTTCCGTTTTGCTTCAGACCTTCATTTCGTCAGGACAAAAGATGTTTCTCCAGCTACATGTGGCTGAGCAGAAAGTGTTGGACAGAAAAAGTGTAAGGAGGCAGCTGGCATGCGGTAGGTGTTAACCCAATGAGTAATAAAACCTGTATCTCCTAGTTCAGAACCCTCATGTTGAGAGTTTATAACAGACAATTTCACTCCCCAAATGGTACATTGTGTCATCAGCCATTTTCCACACTGACCCTCTTTGCCGTCTACGTCAGTCTGATATTCAGCCCTCCTGGTGCCCTCTCCCACCCACCAGCTCCATTATTTCCAGGCAATTCCCAGACAGCCACAAATTTCCCTCTGTACATAAATTATTAACTTTTGTTATTCTACTTTACCTCACAGTAGTCCTACAGTACAGGGAATATCATTCTTGCTTCACAGATGGCTCACTTGAGACCCTAGGAGGAAAATAGATGTACTCAGTACCATTTGCAAAGTCTGTTATACCCATCAGCTCTGTAAGTATTCTATAAGTAGCAAAAACCTAAGGAAGGCTATTTATTTACCTGCCAATGTCACACAGCTTGTAAGTTACAGTGAGCACTTGCACCTAGATTTTTAAATTCTTAGCTACTGGCTCTTTTTACTTTTTAAGTTTTCTCTAAATTCCGAATGCCCCTTGGTGGTAGGGCTGCATTTCTGGCTGTGCAATCTCGTTCTACGGGGACAATTTATGTTTCCTGCACAGCATCTGTAAAATCTGTTCTATATCTTGGGAATTCCTTTCTGTGTGGAAGGATCTTTCACTAGGATTCCTTACAGTTACAGGGCAAGCCAGTGGCCTGGGACGGATGAACTAGATATAACCATCTGGCCTCTGAATGGACAGAATGCTGGTGAAGTCAGGAAGCAGGGAAGGGACGAGTCGTTCTGCTAGCAGCCCAGGGGTTACCTGCAGCTTGCATTCCCCAGGGACAGCAGGGGCAGTGAATCCAGCAGCAGCTCATAAGTGCCAGTGCTAGAAACAGAGCTGTTGGTACCTGCAGGTATCCACAGGGTGACCTCTCCAGAATCATCCAGTGGCGTGCTTTGATTGGATTTGGATATGTACCTTCCCTTTGTCCATTTTCACTGTTTCTCAAGCGTTGTTAGAGATGTTCACTCTATCTAATGTTTTGTTGATAAGTTCCATTGCTTTATTTTTAATGTTTTTGTGGTATTGGGGATTGAATCCGGGACCTCACAGTGGCCTACATCCCCAGCTTCTATTTTTTTGTATTTTTGGTTTTTAGACAGGGTCTTGGTAAATCACTAAGTTTCCCTGGCTGGGCTCAAAGGAGTGATCTTCTTGCCTCATATCCCCAGGCTGGTAGGATTATTGGCCTGTGTCACCAGGCTTGACTGATAAATTTCCTTTCTTTGAAGCTTAAAACCAAGGACTATGGCTTGTCCTAAAGACTCTAACTGAGAGTCTGTACTTGAGTTCCATCTCTATGAAAGTTGGCTGAAGCTTTTCCAATGGTATTGGCTGTGTGTGTCAATGTATAAATGAGGGCAGGAGGCCTGAAGTTTTACATAAGAGAGGCGCCTTGTACTTTTACATAATACCTGCAATTTCAGATTGAGAAAAGGTCAGCTGCCAACCAAGCGGCTGAGTGTTTTCAGAGACCAGTGTGCTCCGTGATCAGGGCTTGCTCTCGATGTCTTTCCACTGTGTTTTTCCTGCCAAGTTTATTTGACTGTCCTGAGGATGCCACTGTTGTTCCTCTTCTTGCAGAACTCGGTGCTGATGGAGGCCGTCTGCAACCTTTCTTCTGAGCCCGAACACTGGAAACACTCCTGAGGCCTGGAGGAAATGGATCATTGCCTCTGCTTTGGAAGCCTCTCTTCCTTTCATCTGCTTCCAGGGAGCAACCCCACATCTCCTGCTGCCTTCTGTATATCAGCTGGAATTATGAAAACTAGGAATTAGGCAAAGTACTCAGCTTCGGCAGTTGGATCAGAAGCTGCGTTGCAGACAGGCAAGAGAGGTGAGAAACTAAGTTCTTTTTACATGAGATACATGAATATTGCCATAGTTCCGTTTATTGTAGGCATAAGTACAGATATGACTCCTAGTGCTGCATCAAGCTTCCTTCCTTTTACATTAACACATTCCTGCCTTCTCAAATCACCGGTACTGTCCCATCGAGCGACTCAGGACACTTGATGGGATTGTTCCATGCGACCCAGTAGGACAGTCGTGCATGTACCACTAGTGGTTAAAGCCTACAGGAATGTAACACATTCAAATCAGAGCTTCCCAACAGTGAGACATATGAATTATGGTCCCATTATGACTTTCAGCTATAGAATTTTAAGCCTGTTATGGTATATTTAGATCATCCTGGGCCCCTGCATTCTTCTGATAATAGTAGCTCTACTTTTGGGCACCATCTAGGTGTTCTGCATATATTATTTCTAATTCTCACACTAATCCTTTGCATAAGCAGTTTGGCACTCATTTTACTGACAAAGGCCAAGGTCCATCCAGATCACATAACCTGACTGAAGTCCAGAGCCAAGCCTGTTTTCAGATCCTGGTCAGTCTGACTTTAGAAGTCCTTGATCTTTTTGCTTTGTTGCATGATTAGTTTCAAAGAAAATTTCGAATAACAAGAGACGGATGGTCTCTTGCATGGTCTCCAGCAATTCTGAGCACCATTCAGATGGTCCCCATACACTCCCTACCCTCTCCTTAAGAGTGGGTTCCATAGTAATTCAGGCAGTTTGGGGCCCCCACATGAAGTAGATCTCCAGTGATTGAGAGCTAATGTCGCATGGAGTGGCCATGCTTGGTAACCAAATGTCAACCGTGCTACGGTGCTATCTTCACCGCCAGAAACATATTCTCACATTCAGTCTCTTCGAGGCCCCCCAGTATGTACTCCTATCTCATTCAGAACATTTAGGACCCAAATTTCTTCTTTTTTTCTTCCTTATCTCTTATTTTGTAGTAGATATTTAGAAATGAAGCCAGACTCAAATATTTCAAGGAAAGAGACACTATGGTAACTACTATTAAGTCGGGTTATCCTGTGGTGAAGCACTAGGTTGCTGAAATTGTTACGCTTTGACCTGTATTGTTATGCTGTTATATCCTCTTTTATCTCAATCTCCCCCTTTTTGTAAAAAAATTATTGATTTATTTTATTATTATTATTTTTTTAATTAAGGGAAAAAAAAACTCAGCAGGATATATTATAGTAACTTTTTTGATTTCCTTTTAACTTGATTTGAAGCCCTGTATTGCTCCCACCATCTTGTTTTGACTGATTTCACTCTGTTTTGTTCTGTTTGATCAAGTTTGGGGGTATAGGCAACTACTTTGAAGGCAGTAAGATTTACTATGACGCCCATTCTGATTTGACTATTATCTTCTTTTGAAGTCCTGTAATGTCTCCAATGTTTAGGTTTTATTAGTGTTGTTCTGTACTGTTTTGTTCAATTTCATTATACCTAATGATATAGGCAATTCTTTTTAAGGTAGCAAGAGGCATTATGGTAACCATTGTTGATTACCTTGTATTCTATTTTTACATTATGTACTATGTCCATCCTTTGTTTTGACTGACTGCTTTGTTTTGTCATATTTGGTTTTATTCTCTTCCAAAAAAAGTAATAAGAACTATGGGAGTAATAAAACCCAAAATGTGTAAATGTTGTTGTAAAAAGAGAGGATAAAAAAGTGCTCTAAAGGATACAACTGCAAGTGTGTTTAGGTGTGGTAAGATAGATGACCATATTACTAAGTTTTTGTTGGATCATTGAACACAACTGTTTGCAGTTTCACTGTTTGAATGTCCACTTTGTATGTTTTAATCCTGTAACTTGAACAACTATTTCTAAGATGACAATATGTAATCTATTAACTAGTGATACCTTACTTTTTTTTATGAAATTCTGTATTACTTGTACCTTTATACTGTTTTGTTTTGTTTTGTGCTCCTTTAAATAAAATTTAAAAAAATAAATGAAGCCAGAATAAGGCTGAAAATAGATGGGCTTTCAATAGTTTGGCTATTGAATGTCTCCTCCAAAGCCCATATGTTAAAGGGATTGTCCCCAGGGCAGCACTTTCAAGAGGTGGTAGAACCTACACAAGGTGGCTCTATCTATGGGAGGACTTAGGTCATTTGGGGGTGGCCTCCAAAAGGATATGACACTGTGGTCATCTCTTTGCTTTCTTTTTCTTCCTGGCTATGAAGAGGTTTTGTTCTGCCACGCTGGCTATGACGTGCTGTCTTGCTACAGACCAAAGTGATAGGGCCAATTTTTCCTGCACTGAAAAAACAAAAGAATCTTCCCAAATTGTGAGCCACCATAAAACTTTTCTACTTGTACATTGATCACCTCAGGTATATCTTAGAGTGATGAGAAGCTGAGTAACCTAGGTTTTGAACATACTTATATAGATACCACACATTCTTCCTTTGTTCATTATTGGTCTGGCAGCTGGGAAAGGCTCTCACAAAACTGACCCTTAGACCACATGACTCAAAATATTTGAAAAACACATCATGCGTATATAATCACAGAGAATCTATACAAAGAATGCACTGGAAAAGACACAAGAGTCTTTCACCATCAGATGTCTATTTGAAATAATAAAACACAGTGCTTATTCATATCCCATCCACTCCACTCCCTTGTTCCAAAGCATCTTTGCTGTCAGGTGGCTGCCATTTTGCATTTCCACATGAAATCCGAAGAGCTAACCTTCAGTTCTTGAGATTTTTCCTGATGATATTCTCTGACTGGCAAGGTTGAGCACACCCAGAGAAATGCTACTGAATGGAAGAGACAGAATCACTTAGCAAAATAAAAATCAGACATTTCACTGTGGTTAAGCTAGGAGAAATGGGAAGGGAGAAAGCTACAAGGAAGAAAAGCGACAAAGAGAAGAATCTGATCACACATTAACAGAAAAACAAAAGAAAGGGAAATGTATTATAGTGAAGTACTGATTGTGTCAATAAGTCACATCAGGGAGCAGAAAGGTGAAATTCAGACCCTTGAAGGTATTTGCTCTGGGCTGAGAGGCCAGTGGGATTAAAAGACTAGTGGGTTGCCTTGACATCTTATCTTGCTTGCAGAGTTTCTCCTCCTGTCTCCTGAAGGTGACATTTACAGTAGAAGGGGCGGTTATTTGACTTAACTGCAGATACCTGAAACACTGCCTTCAACAAACAACCAGGCAGGCATTCCCGGCAAAGGAGCTTGCATATCTGGGCTTCACATTGCCTTAGCATCATTCCTTCACATTCCAGCTCTAACGAGTAGAAGCAAGTTCAGTCTCCAGACTTTCTGTCTTTTGCGAATGTAGACTTGAGAACCTACTGTGCTAACTAGCGCTGTGCTGTGGTTCTGGGGGAATACAGCAGGCACTTTACTGAAAGTCAGTAATTCTGTAACAAGTTCTTCTTTTTCAGACTTCCTGCATGACCTTATCTATTTCCTTTACCACATTTCTACCCCAGATGAGGAGCTTTTGCACATGACTTGAGATAACAAAACTGTCTCCAGTAGATTTACCGAGAGCTATCTGAATGTATACTCACGTATTCTATCTCTCTCATGTTAGAGAAGACAAAGCAATGGCCACCATTGGCTCTTCTTGTGATCTTTGCTTTCAACATTTTCACCTCTCTAAGACCTTACGTCTCCCTTTCTCCTACTTAATTTTCTCCCTTTCAGCTCAATCAGTGCCATTATCTTAAAATCTTTTCTAATGACTTACATCTTATGAAAGTACTGTGTTTTCTGTTTGTGTCTTCTTCACATCCCAGTGAAGCATCTTGATCTTCAATAATGGTTATCAGCAAGTCATCTCCCATTCTGTCTCCCATTTGCATCCACTAGACCCCCTCCTAGCACCACTGCATCCACCACAAGTTCCCCGTTTTGGTCATTAGTAACTTCTCAGTGTTTGCACCTTTTCTAGAGAGCTGGGTTCAGCTGACCTGCCTCTGTTCACACTGTTTTCTCCTAATATCTGTAATGTGCTCTTTTAGCTTTCTTCTTCCCTTCCCAGATGCTTCTTAATATTTTTCCCAATTTTTCCTTCTCTCCTTTACTTTTCTCCATGTTGGATAGTCCCAGGCTTCTGCTTCAGCAGTGGTCAGTTCTCAGTGGTCCCCCTACATAGGTGTCTTCATCCTTGCCTTAGGATATAGACACTCACTACAGTGGGTCAAGGAGAAGCTTTGCTGGCTGTGGAAATAGGAAGAAGGAACGGGCATTTGCAGATGACTACTGTTTGCTGTTCCAGCCCTGCATGCCTGCTTTGAATGTCTAGCTGTCTCCTTTAATCTTTACTTTACTTAGTCAGAGATGTAATAGATTCAAAATAAGAAATGTCCCTCACTATCAGTCCATACCTCAAGTCATCCTGTCCCAGGAAATGGCACCACCCTGTTGTTTCTGGCTAAAGCTCAGAGGAAATCCTTTATCTGTTTCCTCTCACTTTCCATGCCCAATCCATTCACCAGAGTTGTGAGCTCTTCCTTTAAATCAGAGGTCCATGAACTCTTGTTACAAAGAGCCAGATGGTACATGAGTTTTGCAACCCCCAGCATCTCTGTGGCAACTATTTCAGTAAAACCACTGTAGCTCAGAATAGCAGTAGACAAAAGGGACATGTAGGGGCATGCTGTGTCCAGTAAGTATGTGCAGAAATGAGCTGAGGGCCAATGTTGGCCCATGGAACATACTTTGCTGACACCAGCTTGCTTTCCATTTTTATTATCTCCATCCTGACCCAAGCCACCTTCTTTTCATCTGCACTACTCTAGTTGCCTTTTTTCCCCTCTTGTGGTAATGGGGATTGAACCCAATACCTTCTCACTGACCTACACACCCAATCCTTTTCTTATTTTTTATTTTTGAGAGTGGGTTTCCCTAAGTTGCATAGGTTGGACTTTAACTTTCAGTCCTTGTGCCTCTGCCTCCCAAAGCGATGGGATTACAAGCCTAGTCACCTCCTAATTCCCCCAGTGTCTACTTTTGTCTCTAATTCTCACCATGAAGCCAGATGAATCTTCTAAAAGAAGAAACTATGTCTTGTGGATCCTCTCCAGTGGCTGTTCCCTTTGACCAGCAGCAAGCTTCTCTCCATGCTGGTTAAGTCCCCATGTGCTGGTTAAGGCCCCATGTGCTGGTTAAGTCCCCATGTGCTGGTTAAGTCCCCATGTGACTGACCTCTTCTGCCTCTCTTTTCTTCTCCCTCACCAGCTCTAGCCTCCCTATCTCTCCAGGCTCCGATCAGCTTCACAGAACAAAACTTGACTCACTTCTTCCCAAGGCCTTGGCTCTTGCAGCATCTTCTGCCTGATCTGCATATGGCCATTCTCCAGAAAGGCTACCTGGCTCGACCCAGGTTAAGATAATCGAACTTGACATTTATCAAATGCTCACTGTTGTCAGCTATCACTATAACCCCTGCATGTGAAAGACCCTTCCCAATTCTCTCGCACACAAAACCTTCATCCCTACACTTTGATCATACCTCTAGTTTAATGAGGAGGAAATCAGGGCCAAGGGTGGTTTTGTAGTTTTCCCCAAATCACTGAGTAAGTAGCAGAGCTGAGCTGTAAGCCAGCTGTCTGGCTCTTGAACCCATACCCTGAGCCACTGGTCTTTAATATCTGTGTCTTTTCATCATTGCATTCATCATCCTATTGAAACTACAAGTTCATTTATTTGTGTGGCTTTTTTTAAACCGCGTATCTGTCGTACACCAAAGAGCAGAGACCTGATTTGTCTTTTCTCTCACTGAATTCCCAGCTTCTAGAGCAGTCTCTGACCCATAGTAGACACTTGATCTTTACTGCGTGATGAATAATTTGACTTTGTAACAATTTACTTATATGTTAGTGAATCTGCAAATAATCATACTATAGAGTGCCTTATTGATTTCCA